TTATTTATTAATAAGTAATCCGTTATAAGGTTGAAAATTTGGCCAGTCTCAGCTCACAACAAAGGGACTACTTAAACTCAAACTCACAAAAAGCATCAATCTTCATACGATCCATGCTCAATATTAATAAGATCTAAATTTCTTACGTAAGATGCTAAATAATTATAAAAAATATTTCAATATAAAAGTTAATAATTATTTCAAAGTATAAAAAAAAACGTTTAATTGTAATGTGGTTGGATTAAATCGTTGGTTAAGTTTGTTTATGAAGGAAGGAAACGATGGGCCAATCCAGTGACTAAAAGCTCCCTGAAAATTGTGTCGTGAAAAACGCCTCTTCGAAAGGGTGTGTTGAAAGCAGAAGAAAGCAAATTTGAAACTTCTTTCTTTTTAGATTTCAGAAGTAAAATTATTCATGCTTATCCATTTATTCATGCTATAATCAATAATAAAGTCACCGTCGTTTTTTTTTTCTTTTAAGTTTGAATCAGCACAAGCTGACTTTGTTTACTCTATTCTGTTAAAAGCGTTCTCTTAAAGGCTTTTAAAAAAAATCAATTCTAGCAGTGTGANTTGTTTATGAAGGAAGGAAACGATGGGCCAATCCAGTGACTAAAAGCTCCCTGAAAATTGTGTCGTGAAAAACGCCTCTTCGAAAGGGTGTGTTGAAAGCAGAAGAAAGCAAATTTGAAACTTCTTTCTTTTTAGATTTCAGAAGTAAAATTATTCATGCTTATCCATTTATTCATGCTATAATCAATAATAAAGTCACCGTCGTTTTTTTTTTCTTTTAAGTTTGAATCAGCACAAGCTGACTTTGTTTACTCTATTCTGTTAAAAGCGTTCTCTTAAAGGCTTTTAAAAAAAATCAATTCTAGCAGTGTGAAAGGATTAATTAGTGTGTACGATTAAGACCTCTGCTTTTGACTTTCATCTAAAATTGAAATGTTAGATTGATCATAGTATCGTTATACAAGTTGCAATTTTCTTCCATTTTTTTTTTCAATGCCAACTACCTTAGATTTAGTACACTGTGGATTGTATATATAATCAGACATTATATTATAAAACAGTAACAACACACGGTGGACTGAGTAAATTCGAACCTCACCTTGAGAGAAAAAAATGTTCTTCTGTTAATGGGATAATAATATTCTCTTGACAAAACGAAAGTGTTTTACGAGCTCCAATTGGCATTTTAATCCACAAATTTTGTTGTGAAAACATATATATTATATTCTCAATTTCAATTTCTGCTTACATGTTTACCGCAGTAGATTTAATAAAGATTATAGGAAGTTATGATTAACGTATCAATTTCTCCATCCATCCATTGTTGGCTTGGTTACGTGGTTAGGTATATATAAATAAATATGATTAATTTTATTTTATAAACGCTTCAAAAAATTGGTGTATGCAATAATGATGTTGTTATTAATTGTTTTTAAAATAGTCACCGCGATATTTAGATGATTTTATGATATCTTAATCACTTATAATAGACTGAAACCCACTTATCGAGTAAATTTAATTTGGTGAATGTTAATTTAATTTTTAATTAAATTGATTCTACTTTAATTGCGGATATATATTATCCGAAAAAAATTAAGATAAAAACTTAATTTATATTTTATTAAATCAAATTTACTTTAATATAAAATAAAATTATTTTATTACGTTAAATTTAATTAAAAATAAATTTTAATCTATATTTTATATTTTTTTAATATTATTTAAAAGTGTATAAAATTTACTTTTTAATATTTGTGGGTACCCTAAATTTTAAAATATTCGTTAATTTTTTAAAATGATACCCGTACAAATAGCGAGTTGAACTTTTATTTGTATGGTGTCATTTTTAGTTATGTATGATTATAGATATGATATTTAAATGAAAAAGTTTGATAATATAAGAAAGTTAAACAAGTGGATATTTTCTTTATAACAAAATAATTAAAAATAAATAATATTAATTGAATTTTTTTTTTATGTTAGAGTACTAATATCATGAATAATAGCATGTATGGATAATAATACTAATAATAATACTAATATCGATAATTATATTATTAATAATAGTATAATACTAATAAATAATAATGATAATAATAATAATAATAATAATATAAATAATAATAGATGACCATAAAAACTAAAATAGGCCGGTGTTGTGATAAGAACATGTTCATTTAAAAAAAGTAAAATAGTTAAAATTTGTGAATAAAAACACATACATATATAAACAACTAAAACTTAGAAGACATAGATATATTTAAAGGTATCGACACATGAAATCACATGAATTTAAAATATTTTAAATAAAAATAACATAAACATATAAATAATTCTTTAGAATAAAATGAATAAATATTGTGAAATATAATCTTTTTAAAATAATTTTTGGGATAACATGAAACTAACCTTAAAAGTTTTAAACAAAAATATATAAAGATATTGTTATTAACATAGAAATTAAGTTTATAATAATTAATTATTGATGTGCACATGTTTTTGTTTGGAATTATAAAAGTAAGATTAAAAAAGAATATTAAAATATATATTTGTTTATGTTAAATTACAAATTTATATAATAACTAATTAGTGATCTGTAATAAAATAATATAGTTATATATTAAAATTTATCATTAGAGTTTTGACTTTTATATTATATTAAAATAAAATCCATATGCAATAATAGTTACAAAAATAAAATATAAACATATTATAAAATATTATCCTATACAAAATAAAAACATGAGTCATGACTCTGCATACATGGATAGGATTTTTTTTAATTATCATATACGTTTGTTGTTATATTGAATTATTTTTTTATATATATATTTTATGTAAAATTAAATTTAAAAATAAAAAAAATGTAAATGATTTAATTATAATGTTGTTAATATATTTGTATTTGTTGAAAGTGTATGTATAGTGAGCATCTCAGGCAAGACCACACATTCATTCTCAATCTCCCATGGCCAGTTGACCATCAATTTTGAACACATCATGCTTTCATTTAACAGATTGATAAAAAAAAATGCTTCAAATCCCTTCATATCACCAACAACGCTTCACCAAATTAAAAATCAAATCACTTTACAAAAATACCCATCCATTAAAAAAAGAAAATTTCACCTTCCCGTCGGATCAACAAATAAGACAAAAAAAACTTGAAAAAAAAAACACAGAACCACCATGTTAATTCCAATAACAATACCAAATTTCAGAAAAAAAAGGAAAAACATTCAAAGTATAAATAAAAAGGCAAAAAAAGAAAAATCACCTTTACAGCATGTCCGACTTGTTCACATTGCAGCCTCGTTTCAATTATGAAATTGCAAAGACGTTTCTAGAGTAAAAAACAGAAGAAATTGGTAAAAACCCAAAAATCAGAAGAGAGGAAGATAATGGTATGTCATTCAAACAAGCAATATTTTTTTATCATTTTCTTTCATCATAACATAAATTGTGTATTTTTTTAAAAAATTTAGAGACGATGGAAAATGAATTTAAAATATAGTTGTGGATGTTTATTTATTGTGTGTCATAGTTTTGATGGAAAATAATGACAAATATAAAAACATTGACTGAAATAGATAATAAATAGTAAAAATGAGTTTTTCTATTTTTTTTTCTTTTCTCTTCGTGACCAAATAATTTAAATGTAATACGTGGATAGAATGATTGGTTAAATGAAATACAATGTTTATGAAAAGTGAAGTAAGTTAAATAAAAGTAATGTTTGAAGTAAAAACATGTGTTTTGTATAATTTCTGTTTAAATAAAATACAATGTTTATATGGAATTGGATACGTTAATTTTTTCTATTTTTTATTTTTAATCTCTTTGGCAATCGTGCATGAACTCATAAAAACTGTTACAGTGGATCTAATCTCCTCTATAATGACTACTTCGTCTTCATCTCCAACCAAACACACAAATGGAATTGATTACCTCCACATTATAATCGATTCAAGATTTACTACATAACAAGACAAACACATATAATTGATTAAATGCATTTCAGAATCGATAACAACACCTTACATTTTGCGTGAATTTTGGTAATTATGAACTTAGACAAAGACAAATATGACAATTTTTCAATTTTCTTCAAATTCAAAAGCTTCAATAGGTGATAAAAGAACATTAAATCTTGTAATTTAACACTTTCCATTTTTCCATATCGAATGTAACATGATTTTAGTTTATAATCTGTCAATGTCATTCTTCTTAAATGGTAAATTGGTCCAAACTAAAAAAATTGAAGAAAAATAAAACCTCTTAAATGAATACTTATTAACACACAAAATAAAAATAATTCCAAAATTTCAAAACAAGTTTTAACATACCTAATGTGGATATACTTTGGATATTTTACTACTACATTATATTTCTATATTTATTGTTGAATACAATTGAGAAAAAAACAAAATTGGAAGATTTGTCGTGAATAAAAATAGAATAAATAGTATTGCGTGACCACCTTAAATATGTGTACACCACTTCGCATGCTATCCGACCTCACTAAGGCAAAGCGTGAACTGTGAGCACACCAAGCATCGTTAGTCGGTATAACCTTTTCAAGTAATTTGTAAAGGTCAACTGTCAAGGGCAAAACCGTAAATTTACCCTTTAGCCTAAATTAAATAAATAAAGTCATAAATATTTATTTTCTGTATTACGCATGAAAAATGGTTAGTACTTCAATAATTTCGGTATTTATATAATTAATGACAAATTTACTTGCTATTTATTGTTTGATTGAACGTCTAGGATATCATTAAAAATAATTAAAGATTCAGCAGTTTTCTATTAAAATAATATAATATATAGGTATTGTTTTTGAGTAATATTTTAAACTTTTATTTTAATAAAATATGATACAGTTAATAATATAAGTATTGTGTAAATAACATTCTAAAGACGACTGAAGGTGAGCAATTATAGTATTATATATAAGGCTTCTCCATATTTCTTTTTACATGTGTGTGGGGGTGGATTTAATGAAGGCGTTGAGTCCGTGCCTCAGACAGAGTCAGCCTCTGTGTTGGAGAGAGAAAGAGAGAAAAGTTAGAGAGAGAAAGAGAGTTGTGATTTGTGAAGCACACAGGATCTGAAAACGTGTAACTGACAAGACTTTGGAACATCATGGTTAGTCAGCTATATCTTCATCTAATGGCCTTGGGTGGTTTTATGTGTATGAACGCACCTTTGCTCTGTTCAATTTCTTATCTTTTTAATTTTTCTCCATTTCTTCAAAGTTCTTTGCTCCTTATTTATTTTTTCCTTCGCCGTGTTTGGGGTGTGGGAAACTTCGAGACCCTGGTGTTTTTGGATATGGTTCGTAATCTTGAATTTGAATTCTTTTTTCTTCCGGGTTTCTTGTTCGCCTTTCAAAGCTTCTGTCTCTTGGTTTTGTAAAATTTATATTTGGGTAGTCCCCGACGTGTTTCTTGCTGTGTAGTTTTGGGAACTTGCAAGGACATAAATAAATTTATGTTTTGGTTCTAGAATTCTTTTGGAATCTTGTTATTTGGTTAGCAAGAAAGTCGGTAGTCTAGAGCTTTGATCTATTTTTCTGCTCTTTAAAGATCTCGTTATGTTGTTTGATCTCAGCGTTTAGAAAGAAGACCCCTCTTTTTCTCTTGTGTGCTTGTTTGTCTCAGCCCCCCGTGCGTGTGAAGGGGTATTTTTTTCGATTCATGGCCTAGTAAATTCTGCACCAAAAAATAGGGAAATCAGATTCCACATATAGTTGAAGTTAGTATAAAAAGAAGAACCTTCAGCAAGCCTTTTATTTTGGTTCAGTTGCTCCTATGTTAAATTAGATTGAGGAGAAACAAAAATTAGGTCTAAAAACCCTTCAAAAACATGTTTCTGACTAAAGTATGGAATTTTAGCCTTTAGGTCCATGTGGGGCTTTCTTTTATGAGAATCTTTGGTTTTATTTTTATTCATCCACTTTGTGCTTAACCCAATCTGTCTTCCTTCTCTTTTGCTTCTCGATCACTGAGCATCGAAGATGGAATTTAAAATGAAGTTTGGTTTATTTGCAGCTCGTCACTCTTCTAAGGTTTCAGTTGTGAGATCCTCTTGGTGACTAGAGTGGAACATTTATTGTTTTAGTGGCTCTTTGATTATATATTACGTTCTGGGCTGAGTATATCAGTAGAGATGTCCTTCCGCAGCATAGTTCGTGATGTAAGGGATGGATTGGGAAGCCTATCTAGGAGGAGCTTTGAGGTGAGGCTTCCTGGCCATAACAGGGGCAAGTCACGCAGTTCGGTCCACGAGTTGCAGGAGCAGCCAGCGGTTATACAGAACAGCCGGTGGGCTAGCCTTCCCCCTGAGCTCCTTCGCTATGTTATTAATAGATTGGAAGCAAGCGAGAGTACATGGCCTGCTCGTAAGCATGTCGTTGCATGTGCTGCCGTGTGCAAGTCCTGGAGAGAAATGTGCAAAGAAATTGTCAGCAGTCCTGAATTCTGTGGGAAGATCACTTTCCCTGTTGCCCTGAAGCAGGTAGGCCTTTTGTTCTTCTATCCTGTGCCTAAAATATGTGTAAAGTATTTGCTTTATGTATAAAGGATATGAAATTGGTACCATGACCAAAGTTTACATTTTTATGCTTCGTTGACTCTTGTCTTGTCTGCAGCCTGGGCATAGGAATGGAACCATCCAGTGTTTCATCAAGAGAGACAAATCTAAGCTGACATACCATCTCTTCCTTTGCCTCAGTCCTGGTAAGCTTTCCTTTGTTGACAATAACCTATATGAATTTATCTGATCATCTTGTTTTGTTCTTTCTTTAATTTGCTTTTAGTGTTTAATTTTTGTGCTTATGGCCTCTGGTATTGATATATTTATTGACTTTTTCCCTTATCAATACGAGCCGTGGTCACCTTTGAACGTAGAATTTATTGCTCTTTCTTTGATTTTTGGTTCAGCTTAATTGCTTGTGATGTTCATTTCTATGTTTGGATTGGTGAAAAATGATGGAATGAGCTGGTTGTTTTTGAAATGTAAGCTTTGCTACCTTAAACTCGATCTTACAGCTTCCTTGTGGCGTTGGAAATTGTTTTTCCAAATTATTTTTTTATCAAAACCTGTTGTTGTTAATGCAATTTAGATAGTAGTGTTCGAATATGATGGTCAACTTCTTTGTTGTGGCCCACTTACAAACTTATTGTGTCGTTTTATTGTAGTTTATGAAAGTAAGTAATAACTACTGGTGCTCAAGTTACTTGAGGGTTGGGTGCTGATGTCACTTCTAGTTTATTCTGGTCATATGATCCATTCAAATAATTCAACCTTGTTCCGAGCATCATTTCAACTTGGTGTGTGTTTGGCTTGTTAGCTTTGCTAAAGTTTTAATGGTGTGTGATGCATGTCTATGCTTAGGTTGACTTTAATTACGAGAGAATAGTTCATGCTTTGCCTATCCTACTTGTTTTATTGGTTGAAATGTTTTCTATGCTAGGACGAGTATTGAGTTGACAAATGTCTTGCTGTTACAGTATGCTGTAAATATGCATTTAGTAATTTTATGTTCCTGGCTATCATTGTTTTTGGGGCCTGTTCTGGACTGATAAATGTGTTCGTGCAGCCTTGCTTGTTGAAAATGGAAAGTTTCTTCTCTCTGCAAAAAGGACCAGAAGAACAACTTGCACGGAGTATATTATATCAATGGATGCAGATAACATATCGAGATCTACTAGTACGTACATTGGAAAACTGAGGTAAGACTTAATTTTGGGACTGCTTGACAATCATTTTTGCATTAACAGTGATGGGTACGACAATTGTTTGGTTGTTACTGACTTGTACAAGATCTAAATTTATGCATAAGTTTTTACATCATCATTCAAGAAACTACAAATCAATTGTTTCTTTACTTTGTAGTCATCATGGACTTACACTGTATTAATTTTTGGTTGTTCCAGGTCAAATTTTCTTGGCACCAAGTTCATAATTTATGATACACAACCACCTTACAACAATGCTATGCTGTCTCCACCTGGGCGAAGCCGTAGGTTTTCGAAAAAGGTTTCTCCAAAGGTCCCTAGCGGCAGCTACAACATTGCCCACGTGACGTATGAGTTGAATGTTCTTGGTACTAGGGGTCCGCGAAGGATGAATTGCACGATGTACTCCATTCCTGCATCATCCCTTGAGCCTAATGGCGTTGTCCCAGGCCAGCCAGAGCTCCTTTCTCGCCCCCTTGAGGATTCTTTCCGCAGTATATCCTTCTCAAAATCAATTGACAATTCAACAGAGTTTAGCAGCTCTAGGTTCTCAGAAATTATGGGAACCGGTAATGAAGACCAGGAGAGAAAGGTGAGACCTTTAGTTCTCAAGAACAAGTCCCCAAGGTGGCATGAACAGCTGCAATGCTGGTGTCTCAACTTTAGAGGAAGAGTCACCGTTGCCTCTGTTAAGAATTTTCAGCTGATTGCTGCTGCCCCACCAACCGCTGCCACCGCGGTGCCTGTAGGATCAGGACCTTCTCTATCCCAGCCAACACAGTCTTCTTCTGACCATGACAAGATTATTCTTCAGTTTGGCAAGGTTGGCAAGGATATGTTTACAATGGACTACCGGTACCCCCTCTCTGCATTTCAGGCTTTTGCCATATGCTTGACTAGCTTTGACACAAAATTGGCTTGTGAATAGTTTACAAGAAATATATGTGTGGTAAGAGAAGTAGAATTTAATCTTCATTTTAGATACTGGTAGGAATGTTGAAGCTTCATTAAGTCATTGTTCTCCTCACGGTTAAACTGTAAAGTATGGAACAATCTCTGCCCAATGTACCTTTTTTCTTTTTACTGTTCTTTTTCTTTTGAACATTTTTCCTTTTTTCTTGCCATTGCTCCTTTCTTTCTGATAGTCAATTTATGCTTTATAGTTATCTTTGTCAAACTTTGATGATGTAGATTTCCATACTTTGTGTAAATATGTAATGAAATTGTCGCCCAGAGGTATTTATGAAAAATAAGAAAGTATTGTGACTATAGAATTTGTTGTATTATTTTACTGCATTGTTATTGAAAGGAAAAACAAATGAAGGGTCAAGTTCGTGCATAAAACGAGTGCAGACATTTCTTTGCAAAGGATGATCCGAAAAAAGTGAGCTCCATCAGTATTTCTGTTGAAATGCTCATGAAATTGAAAGATGTTATAAGAATCTGCTGAAACCCGAACACATGCTAATAATATTTTTATTTAATTAAAAATGATCTTATTTGATTTGCTGCATACTTATATCATTTTTTAACTATAATAGTAATTACTACTTGTTTTATATTAAAAGAGTATGTTCTCATTTTTTTTTTTAATTTTTATGAGTCTATTTGTAATTGGCTGACTGCCAAGTTTTTAGATATTATTAATATATAATAATTAAAGTCTTCAATTATTCATAAAATTTCTTTAACATTTTATATTTTAAATTTAAACTTAAAATATTTTTATTTAGATTTTAGATAGTAGGCTATTTCTAAATAAAATGAAAAATAAATATGGTTTTATTAAAAACGTAATGGTGGAATGTCATTTTATTGAAAAATATAATGGATTTGAATATCTTTCAAAAAAGGACTATTGTCATTTTTAAAAAGTTTAAAAGAAATATTACTTGTTTCAAAACTAAAAGAATTAACAATGCGATTCTTATAGTATTTTATATCTTTCTTTCATTACCTTGTTATCAGCTTTTCCGTCTTAACATGGTAGAGGTAAGATTAAACAAAGTTTTTGTTTTTTTTGTTTATAATAAATAAACATATAGTATTATGCTTCTTTAATATCTTTATGTACTGCATAATTATTTTTTATTTATACTATTTTTTTATTAGAAATGAAACCGAACTCTTAAATAAATACGGTTGATTCAAATTTTGAACAACATTTGTCATTCTATTTTGGTAACTTTATGTAGCCATCAATTAACATAAGGATACAGTAAGTATATTTATCAAGTAGATTGTTTATTTTATCACTTCTTGCCATCTTAACCTATTTTATCCAAATGAAAGTTGTTGCACAACAAAAAAATTTCGATGGCACTGTGTCAGTACATCAAAGATGGATGTGGTGGTGCACCATTTCGCAAAAAGTTGATATGGATCATAAATACTCATTGAATCCGTTAATGGCCACGTTTAATAGGTTGTCTAGTTTTTGCCAACATACACCTGTGATATAATGGTATATCAGAGGTGCAAGCCAACCACATAGTCCAAAAACTAAAGGACAAACATAAAATCCCATATACATTTGACCTATATATACATATTAACACACTTTAATTACACCCCTTTTTATTAAAAGTATGTATATATTGCGGAAACATCATCAACCATCCCAACTAACCCATTACACATTACTTACCAAAATAAAACATCTTCCGTGAACCAAAAAAAAATCCACCAAGAAACTATTTTATTCAGCCATTATGAGCTGTGGTAAACATAGCAAGAACATGGTACATATGGATCATAGAGCATTAGAAAGATGAGAGATTGTAGAAATACATTGAGATCTGGTTGAAGAGAAAAGACTGTAAAAAGTAGAACAATTAAAAAGAGTATAGAAAGTATGGTTGTATGATTAATTAAAAAGATAAGATGAGAGCACAGCCAAAATGTTGAACCTGATGACAGAGTTACGAGAAGTGAGCACTGCTTGAGTCTCCTTGAATCATGATTTAATATTGGAGACATGGAGAAAGCACACGAGTGTGTAACTCTCTTCCATCTTCATTTCTCCCTCTTCCATCTTTTCTTCTGGTTGATTCTGAGAGGATGAAAGGTACCTGCTATATAAATGTATGGTGCGCGCCCACGTGGTTTCATGGGGTTGAGAGCAGCAACCCCTCCGTCGGCTCGGTGGGTCTTAAATTATGACCATCAATTAAATACACATATTTCAAAAGTATCAAATAGAAAATGAGAAAGTTAACCTAATGAGTTAGGTTATGATAAGGGATGCAAAGAAAATCCTTACTCAATATATTCGTCGATAAGGGTATAAAATGAATATATGCAGTATATAAATATCATAGTATTTATATTTGTAAATATTTATATCCGTTAATCTTTAAATTTTTTTAATGAATTTTTGTTATGTTTTTCAGGTGGCTCACCCTTCAGAGTTATAAGTTTTGGAGGATGTTTCAGAAAAAGCATGTAAAAGATAATTGAATATTTTCATTTTCAATATGTATACTAAAAATAATTGAATTAAAAACAAAATATCATTTACATTGAATGAAAATTGATATGATAGGTTTTTTAGAGTCAGTTTGACTGTGAAGAGGCGACAGATGCATCAAGATATGTTGATAGATTTAAAAGAAAAAATAGTAGATTCGCAATTGATTACTCCAAGCTCTACCCTTTTTCTTCAGATTGATTTTTGCTTCAGATTTCAAACGAACCAGATCTGTGCCTTATTAGCCACAGAAGATTTTGACTGAAAACAGTGGAACTCTTAATCACTTAGATTAAGAATTAAATTAGTGAGATTACACTTTACATGAAGTATTATTTATAGTAGCTCAATTATGACGTGTACAAGTTTTGAAGTGTAGTGAAAGTTTTAATGATGAGCTTTGGTAGTCATTATTATATGTTATCCCTGTGAGTGTATGTGTATGAAGAGTTGATACGACAGAATATAGTATAAGATGGACGAAATCACAAACATATCAGGAAGCAAAACTTATTTGAAGGGGCAACTTTCTAATTGAAGGGTAATGCAGAAAGGTGGCTGTTGTAGACCATATGAGTGGATTCCAAATAATTTGTGGTCCCAAAAGAATGTCATGCGCATGTAACAGGAAAAAAAGTAATTTTTTTTGGTGTTATGGGCTAGGTTGGTGGAGCACTATAGCTAGATTTTCTATCAAAACATGCTACCCCACACAAAAATCCTGAATTTCGTTGGATTTGGACTCACGGGTCGGTCTTTCTCAGTAATATTTTGGAAGATAATGTTGTCACTTAGTTCATACTTTTCTCTTCCACTGTTAGGAAGCACCAAAATTCACAAAAAGAACCCATATCTACCTTAAGGCGTGTTTCACACACTCCCTCAAACCTAATTGCAAAAATAGGTGTTCCGTGTTAATTTCTTAAAAATAAAAAAGAAGTAGATATAAATACATAGATAAACAGGTATGTGTAACGATTCATGTTACTCCTACTAGCTATGCCAGAGAGCACAATGTTTATTTTACTGATTTACAATTTCAAATTAAAACTTTAATATTAGAATCAACAAAATTTTGTGTTCAGATCAAATAAGTTTGACCAGCGGAAACATTAAAACATTTTCAACTTGAGGGGTGTTTAAATAGCAATTTGAGGTAGCAATATCAGTCGCTACCAAGTCCATGAACAAAAAAAAAAGCCCAAATCCAAAACGGCCCGAATACAAAATTCCTCTGGTCAAAACTAAATGCCTTTGCGTCTTTCTTGTTGGCCTTTCTTCTCCACACTGTTCCACTTCCACTTTTTCGTTTTTTTCACTCTTCAGTCCTTCCTTGATTCTTCAACGGAATTTTTTTGTGTGTGTGTGTGTGGTTTAATGTATTTGCCCAATTCAAAATGTATCGAACAGTTTTTCATTGGTTTTTGACTTGTCATTTCCTTTTTCCCCTAACCATCGCCGTCGCCACCGCCACCTACGTTTTTGGTCATGCACACACACGTGTGTGTATGTGTGTGGTTGTCTGTAAAGGCTTTTGATGAACGCCATTGTGTTAAAACTCCATGATTTATTCTTATGCTATGGGATCTGGGATCTGATGGCATTTTCACGGTTTTACCTCAGTTCACCGATTTTTTTATCATAGAGGTTTGTTCTGTTTTTATGAGCCTGATGATTGAGTAGCACTGTGTATGCTCTGTGAGATCATGAAGTTAGATTTTCCTCCGCCGTCTTCGTTATTGTTTGGTGTTTTCTACATCTTTTGTACTTTCGTTTCTCGATGGTTTGCATTTGGGGAAACCCTATTAGTTTGACGGTTAATATGCCAATTTAAACCTGTTAGATATTTAAATTTGAAAGAATTTGTTAAGCATGAAGCAGAGTGACCTAAATTTTGGTCTAGGGTTTTCTGGTCTGAAAAAACATGCTTACTGTTTCAACTGGTTCAATTGACATGCGGCTGCCTTCTATGCTACCCCATGATGGATAAATAGTCTATTGAACGGCTACATGGTTTTGTTCGTAACTGGACCTGCACCATTCTCTTCCTCTTTCTCTCTCTTTTTGTCTCTCTCTACGTCTGCGTGTGTGAGCGCGCACGTCTATTTTTGCACTCTATGCATACATGCATACATATATATATATATACATAAACTATGTTGAGATGGTGCAAGAAGGCTGTGAACGAAGCCTGTTATAAAGCTGTAGATGATCTGTCTTTAGCTATGAGATCTGAGGGTTATGCGCTCTATTTTATTTGGCAATACTTGTTTTCCATTTTCTAAAGCAATTTTTCTATTGTTCTTATTAGACATGCTAGCAGACTTACACAATTTTGATTAACATCTGAAATGCATTTGAAATAATCAGGAGAAAAGTGCCGAGGAGATGTTTTATGTATACTAACTTTAACTGTTTTATATTAATTCGGTAGTCATGGAATCATTGTTCGTTTTTATGGCCATAAGAACAATCCCAAGTCTTTCTCCTTTCTTTTGTTCTGGATTAGCTTTATAGCATTCACTAGTTTATGATCTAAGCCAATATTTTTATGACGTTTCACAAAAATTCTGTTTTCTCTTTTTCTACAGCAAGCATTGGCTGTAAATGCTATCCTTTAT